CCTGAGGCCCAGCTCCTTTGCCCTTGGGTGGGGGAGTCCCCTTGGCATTGTCCCTAGGGCACCAGCCGGCTAAGGAACCAGGCCTGGTTTTTCCTGGGACGCCACTGGGAACAGGATATGTGACATTTTCTTGGTTGTCACAGCCGCCACCCCATCGAGCCGTTCCCAGGTGACATCCTGGGAGAAGACAGATGTTTCGGGTTGCTAGTTCCAGGCCTGTCTTCCATCTGCCCTTGTCCTCTCTGCGGTGGCCAGGGCACAGGAAACCCCTAGGCGGCCGGAGCCTGGGCGGGGGCAGGGGTCGGCTCGGCCGCTTCCCGCGGAAGGAAGGGCCCGGCGGTTCCTGCCACAGGATGCCGGGGCGACGCCCCCTCCCCAGCCACCTCCGCCGCCGCCGGGGACTTCCCGGGGCCCGGCGGGGCGTTGCTCTACCGCCTGGGACTTGGGGTTCCAGCCCCACCCCCACCCCTTGGTGTGTATCTGGCCTCAAGAGTGAGGCGTGCAAAAATCCCCCACGTTTTCCCGTTCCGAATCTGAGGGAGGCGGCGCTCGCATCGCTCCCACGTGGGTGGACGGGGCGACTGCTGACGCCTGGAGCCCGGCGAGCGCCCGGCCCCTCTCCTCTGGATCTCCCCACCACCACTCCCGCCCGGGCCTCGGGGTCAGGTCTCCCGGGGTCACTGGAGGCCCGACTCGGCCGAGACAGCCGTCGGAAGGCGTGGCCGGCGCTCCTCCGCGCCCCCCCACCCTGCACCTGCGGCTCCTTTGTCCCCGCTGGCCACGCCCCCTCCTCCCCTCAGCCCCCAGGGGCAGCGCCGGCAGCTCCCCCTCTCAGGTAGCGATGCTGGGGAAATTTTAATTAAAATAATTTTTCTTCTTCTCGGGACGGGGTAGAGACCTAGGGCCCGCGGGGGTCTTTCACCACCAAGAGCGAGGCAGGGGTGGGGAGCGGCACAGAAGGCCCATTTCATAGATAGGGAAACTGAGGCTGGAAACAGCAGGCTCTCTTTGGCGTACCGCCCGGAAAACGCTGGAAGTGGAGGCGTAACCAGCATTCCAAAGTCCACCAGTTCAGCTCCATCGCTGGCGGACGCCCGAGGTCAGCCGCGGGAGGAGGCAAGGTCCCCCAAATCGTGCTTACGCCCCCCACTGGGAGAGCGGATTCAGGGGGCGCAGGACCAGCCTGCTCCCTCTCCCACCCACGCTGTAACCACCGGTCAAACCGGCTCCTGGGGTCCCCCCACCCCGCCCCAGCCGGCCGCAGCCAGCGCGTGACCCCTTAACCCCGCCCCTCCCCCGCCGCGGCAGGAAACCAGACAGGCCAAACTTTTATACTTAAGTCTTTTTTGTCTTCTTTATTTTTCTGACGGTCCCTAACAAAACCGGCTAGGTGAGATTGGCTTTGAAACCACAACCCACCCATCCCCTCCCAAGGAAAAACTCCCGGGGCCACCACAGGAGCCCTCCCCTCCCCATCCCCGACCCCCACCCCCAAATCGGGCCAGCCATGGCCGCCAACCGGTCCCCCAGCTTCAGCCTGCCGTGGGCACGTATTGGGGGTGGGTATGGGGGGCACCGCCACCTGCACAAGACCAGAGAAACCACCTCTCTTCCCAGCCACCACCACCCCCGGGGGGGAGGGGCGCGCCGGGCGTGGGACACTGAACCAGCAGCGGGCGGCGTGGGCGAGGTGATCAGGCTGCCCTCCACCCACGGCGGGGCGGGTCCACACCCCGGACCCTCCCTCCCAGGCCCCGCACCCACGCACGCCAACAGGAAGCGGCCCCGTGACGCAACGCTGACCGCCTGCACAAGTATGTCCCTGGAGGGGGGGAGGAGTCTCCTGGGACTTTGCCACGGCACACGGCGGCTCTTGAAAAAAAAAAAAAACCACGGCAGGCCGGCGTTGAGCCCTCGGTGGGAAAAAACAAAAAACAACAAAATTAAGTCCGACCCTGAGGAAATGAACGGTCCAAGCCCACTCCCCCTGGCTCCCGGTCTGGGAGAGGGTTAAGGCCCGCGTCTCGGTCCATTTAGACAGCACCTGTGGTCCGCGGAAGGCGCCTGCGCCCACGGCTCCTCCGGGTTTGGAGAGGGGGGCGCGCATGGCCAGGGTCCCCCCTCCGGGATGCTCGGCATCTCCCGGCGAGCCGCGCCGCTCCTCTCCGCGCCGCCCCCTCGATGCAGGGCGTGCGCGCGCCTCCGTGTGTTGAGTGGCGGGGAGAGGCTCGTCCCCGCGTCCGCGCCCTCGGGCCGACGACGGTTCAGTTCGCGCGCGCGCGCGTTCTGGGCTCCGGCAAGCGCCCGCCGCCCGGGTGCTCAGAAGGCCACCACGGCGCGCACCAGCACGTTGAGCACACTGTCCTGCGGGCGGCAGGCCGGCTTGGCCTCGCGCGGCGCCGGCGCCGTCGGGGGGCTGGCGGGGCTGCAGTGCAGGAGGCCGGAGAAGCGCCTTTGGAGGACCTGGGCCAGGTTGGGGAAGGCGCCCTCGCTCTGCGCCGGGGCGGGCTGCAGGCGATCGGCGACCCTCGCCGCCGCCGCCGCCTCCTCGTCCGGGTCCGCCTCCATGCTCTCTTCCTCTTCCTCCAGGCGGGCCCTCTTGCTAGGGATCAGTCCCGGGTCCCCGCCGTCGCTCAGGCTGCAGCTGCTCCGTCGCTTGCGGCTCGCCTTGGCTGGGCGCAGGGCGCAGCGGGCAGGGGCCGCCGCCTCCTCCTCGGCTCCCGGCGCCTCCTGCGTGTCCATGGGCTCGGGCGAGGGCTGCTCACCGTCGGGGGGCGCTGCCTCGGTCGTGGCTTCTTCCGCTTCCCGCGGCGGGTGCAGGCGAGGGTCGGCGGGGCGGGCGGGCGGCAGGGGCGCGTCCGGCTCGTGCGCCTCCACCTTGGCCGAGAGGTAGAGCTCCCGGGCGCTGCGCATGACCAGCGACAGCTGTAGGCTCCGGTGCAGCCGCAGGCCGCCGCGCTGCATGCGGGAGTGGTACAACTTCCACACCGACAGGGTCATGATGCGCTGGGCTTCCTTCTGCACCTCCATCGCGGTTCGACGGCGGACGGGACGGGCGGCAGGTGCACTCGGGGCGGGGGGGTACGACGCGCTCGCTCACGCTTCTCCGCGCCGGGACACCGCTAGGACGCTCTGCCCCGGCGCCCGCCACCCGAGCCCTTTTATACCCCGGGTGACGTCACAGGGACGCCCCGCCCAGTAAGAAGGCCGCATCCGGGCTTTCCGCGGCCCCGTGGCCGGAGCCTCCTTAAAGCGACAGGGTGCAATTTACTCGCGGTGATGGAAAAAGGGGGACAGGAGGGGAACCCCGGCCTACGGTGGAGTCCCCCCCGCCCCGAGGGGACGCTGAGCTCTCCGAGTGCGGGCCCTGGGGAGGGGCGGCGCGGGTGGGGCTCCGGGCCCGCCCACGTGCTCGCGCCGTCTGCACCCAGGGCCCCTTAGCCCGGGAGGCTCGGGGCCGAGCCGGTCATTCCCTCCCGTCGCCCAGCCGTCTGAGCTTAGGGGCGCTGGCTGCGTGTTGGGTGCTAAGCTCTCTTCTTGCGCGGGATGGCGCTGCTGGGCTCCGGAGCTCGAACGCCCACCGGGCGGAGGGGGCGGGTGTGGGTGGTCGTCCGCAGACTCCGGAACGCAGCCCAGCCATCGCCCACAGGCTCACCGCTGCGATGCGACACCCCCCAGGTGGGCTGGGCCCCGGCCGCAAACGGGGCACGGGCCCCGGCGACGAACACGTGGCTGCCGCCCCCCGTCGGCGGCGGAGGAGAGGGGGCCCTGCTCTGCCTCTGCGCCCCGGGGGGGCGGAGCTGGAAACTGAGCCACGCGGAGAAAACATCGGCCCCACCCTCCGCCACGAGAAGACTCAATTCCCGTAGCTTAAAAAAAAAAATAGAAAAAAAAAAGAACATTGTTCAAATGGTTGCATTCACTCGTGGTGCGGGCCCTTTAAGAGGCGCCCTCCACCCCCCTCCCCCGGCTTACGCAGCCTTCCCGCCACTGGGGCCCCGCTGACTTCCACAGCTAAATTTGGAAGAAGTGACGTAGGGCGAACGCGCCAGCCACTTCCGGCTGCCCATATAAGGACATGGGGCTGGGAGCACCACGGCGGGCGGGAGCGGGCTTCCGGGGGCGGAGCCTCGGCTCTGGGCACGCCCCCTCCTCCGCCCCCGCCCCACCCCCGTGCGCGCGGACTGCCGCGGCCGGCTGGAGCCTGGGGCTTCTGGGGGCGGGGCCTCGGCCCGGACACGCCCCCTCCGCGGCTGCCGCCCCGCCCCCGCGCGGCCGGCTGGAGCCTGGGGCTTCCGGACTCGGAGTCCGTCGGGGCCGGGCGTGTGGGGCGGGGGAAGAGGAAGGCGGCGTTTCCTTCCCTCGTGGGGGCCAGGAAGGAGCGACGCCCCTCCGGGCAAGCACCCCGCCCGCGCGGGCTCCCACTGACGGAACCCCCCGACGGCGGCGACCCTGAAAGGACCCCCCAAATCACCTCATCCTTAACCGATCCCGCCCCTGCCCTACAGTCCAGAAGTCCCGTCTGCAGGCCGCACACAGCGGCGACTCTGCCCCACACCACGGGCGACCCCCGGAGGCATCCCGCACACCCTCCCGAGAGGGGAGACCCGGCCCCCCACCTCCGATTTCCCGGGGACCTTCACCGGGGTGCCTCCTCAGGGGTCCCCCTCAGGCTCGCGCGCCCAGGTGACACCACACCCGCCCCCCAGGGGTCTCCTCCCGCGGTCGCTCCGCCCCAATACGACCTCGGGGGTTCTCCCCCCACCCACCCACGCCCTGCAGGAAGAGCGCCGCTAAAATGCCCGCAGCCCTTCCCACACCTGCTGCTGGGGACCCTGGGCTGGGACGGACGCCCCGGGGCGGGCTCCGGGGATGGAACCCACTGACCCCCCACCCTTTCTCAGCTGGAATCCGACTATTATTATTTACACTGCCTCAAAAGCAAACAATTCACTTAGACTGCGAACCCCTCCCGCCCATTCAACGGCCCGGCACTGTGACTGAGAAGGCGGGACATGCGGACCGGAAGTGTGGCCTTTGCCCACACCCAAGATGGCGGCAGCGGGAACGGAAGTTTCCTCCTTTCGGACCTCTCTCTCCTCTGGAGGTCCCGCTCTCGATGGTGGCGAACCGGGGGCGGGGGTGGCGGCGCTTCCTCCTGGGCTGCGAGGCAACCAAGTGGCTCGCGAGCCCCAGCCCGGAGGGGCTGCGGCCTCCTGGGGGAGGGGGGCGGCCATGTCTCTCGAAGATCCATTCTTTGTAGTGCGAGGGTGAGTGACAGCGACGGGGCCGGGGAGGGCGATCGGTGCGCGCGCCGGCCGTCGGGGCTGGGGTCTCCGGGAGGGTCTGGGGGTGGGGGTGGGGGTCTCTGGAGCCTCAGGTTCGTTCGGGGGCGACGCGATTGGGTCCGCCTGCCCCCAGCCGCGCTGCTGCTGTGCCCCCGCCCGCAGCGAGGTGCAGAAGGCGGTGAACACGGCCCGCGGGCTGCACCAGCGCTGGTGCGAACTCCTCCAGGAAGGCGGCACGGGCGGCCGCGAGGAGCTGGACTGGACGGCCAATGAGCTGCGAAATGGCCTGCGCAGCATCGAATGGGACCTCGAGGACCTGGAAGAGACCATCGATATCCTCCGGGAGAGCTACGAACGCGCTGGCACTGCCCGGGTCGGGGGTGGGGGGTGGGCACTGAGAGGCCGGATCCCCCTGGGGGTGGAGGGGGTTCGTCTCTAGCCCTGGCCTTGACCCTTGACTCCCAGCCCACGAATCGTGGAAGCCAACCCCGGCAAGTTCAAGCTGCCCGCTGGGGATCTGCAGGAGAGAAAGGAATTTGTGGAGCGGATGCGGGAGGCGGTGCAGGTGCGCAGAGGGCCCGGTTGTGGGGGGTGGGGTGGAGAGCGTGCAGAAGTCAGGGTGTCTTTCCTCCCTAATACCACCATCCTCGTCCCCCTCCCAGGAAATGAAGGACCATATCGTGAGCCCGGCCGCCATAGCCTTCATGGAGAGGAAAAACAGAGAGGTACGGCGTCCTTACTCTATGCCCATCTGAATCCCTGGGCGTTGCTTTTCCCCCTGTTATTGTTCCCTAAACAATGCAATCGTGCTTATTATGTTCGCGGGAAAAAATGGAAATCAAAGTTACACACACACACACACACATATGCACACACGGGTTCCTCTGTTGCAGAACCTGGGGTCCGTTTCCGGCTCCACCTTCCTGCTAATGCACATCTTAGGAGGCCAGCTCGCTCCTAATGTGCGCCCTGGGAGCCAGCAGGGGATGGCTCAAGGCTTTGGATCTCTCCACCCACCCACCCACGTGGGAGACTCAGATTGAGTTCCTGGCTCCTGGCTTCAGCCCGGCCTGGCCCTGAATGTAGGGGGCAGGGAGACATTTGGGGAGTGAACCTGTGGATAGATCTCTCTCTCTGTGTCTCTGTTCCAAGCCTTTTCCATGGCTCCATTCATTAAATCCTCATTCCAGGATCAGGAAGGTTATAGGTCTCCCCCTTTTCAGATGAAAAAATTGAGGGTCGGTGACAAGGCTGCCTTGGGGTCCCCTTTGCTAGTGTTGTAGGTGGCAGGTGTGAGGACTTCTGGCTGTCCCACCCCAGATGCCGCCCCCCAGCCCCACAGTGCAGACCTGCCCTGAGGTGGCCGGCCCTCCCCTAACCTGTGACCCGCGTGTCTCTGCAGATGTTGGCGGGCAAACCAGCTGCCCAGAAGTCACCCAGCGACCTGCTGGACGCCAGCGTGGTCTCGGCCACTTCTCGATACATTGAGGAGCAGCAGGCCACGCAGCAGGTGTGTGCTGGTGGCCAGGGGACCCCCCCAGGGTAGGGGTGGGGGCGGTCCCTGCCGACAGCAAACAGCTGGCACCCTTCCTCCTCGCCCCCACCCCTCCCCGCAGCTGATCATGGACCAACAGGACCAACAGCTGGACATGGTGTCCGGGAGCATCCGGGTCCTAAAACACATGTCCGGCCGCGTCGGGGAGGAGCTGGACGAGCAGGGCAGGTGAGGCAGGGGACTCCAGCAGTGGGTGGGTACCCCCGGGGCCGGTGTGCTTGGGGGCCCTGGAACACCACTGTGGTCTTGACAGTATGCTGGATGCCTTTGGCCATGAGATGGACCACACCCAGTCCCGCATGGACGGCGTCCTCCGTAAGATGGCCAAGGTGTCCCACATGACGAGCGGTGAGTCACGCGTGCCCGTCTGGAAGGGGGCGGGTAACAGGTGGCTCCGCCTCCACCCCACCCACCCCGCTGTGACTCCACCCCTTTCCCATTCTAGATCGCCAGCAGTGGTGTGCCATCCTGGTGCTTCTTGGGGTGCTGCTCCTGGTCTTGCTCCTGCTGGTCTTGCTCTGACCTTGACCTATGCGACCTGCCCGCTGGGCCTGCCCCCACCCCCAGGAGGAACAGCTGGAGCCCCCCCCCAGGCTCTCATCCAGGGCCCTGGGCTGAAGCACCCCCCACACCACCACCACCACCAGGGTCCTGTCTCAAGTGCACTTAGCGGGTGGAGGTGGGAGACCTGCCACACTCCCCCCACCCCCAACCCGTGTTAACTTCCGGGACCCCAGGGCCGTCAGTGGTGGCCATTGTACCTTCACAAGTGCCAATCTGGAAATAAACCCGCAGCCTTTTTTTTTTTTTAAATATGTATTTGTATCCTGCATCATGTTGATTTTGAACTTGTAGCTGACCCCAGCTCATTGCACCCACTGCGGGGGTCTGTGTGTGTATGTGACTGTGTATGACTGCCATAGCGGATGTTTGGGAGAGAAACAATGCTTCTGGTAAATTCTGGGCGTTAATAAGCGGTGATTTAGGGGTGCCGTGGGTTCAGCCACGGCTCGGGACGCTCCCACAGTGGAGCCGCTCACGCGGGAGACCTGGATGGAGTTTCCCAGCTTCCAGAGGTCAGCCCCGCCATTGGGGGCATTTGGAGAGTTGAACGGGTGGACAGAAGCTCTGGCTCTCATAAATAAAAACTTCCAAAGTATTTCTTGCATCAAAAACTAAGTTTACAGGAGGATGTGGGCAGTTGCTATGCAAATAGTATGCATTGTGAACAAGCTCTGACAGAGTGACCGAGAGAGAATCTTCCATCTGCTCATGACAGCCAGGACCCAGGAGCCAGGGCCTCCACCTCCGTGGGCGGAGGTTCGAGTACTTCAACCTTCACCAGCTGCGTCCTGGGCCCCGTAGCAGGAAGCCAGCGCTCGGGATGTCGGATGCTGCCCCAAATACTAGAACCTTTTGCGGAAAGGACTGGATTTTGCTCTGCACGAGGTTCCTGTTTACTAAGGGACAAGCAAACTGAATTCCACGTCTTCCTGGGGCTAAAAGCTGCCCTCGGAAAGGCAGGCGCCCCTTTTCTCGCCCCACTTCTGATCCAGCTCCCTGCTAATGCACCAGAGAAGATGGCCCAGGCGCTCAGGGCCCCTGCAACCCATGTGGGAGACCTGGAAGAAACTCCTGGCTCTTGGCTTCGGCCTGGTACAGCCCTGGCCAATGCAATCTTTTTAGGGAAAACAACAAAACCCTGCCTACTGGTGTCCGAGGCTAGGACTTGGCCTGCTGACACGAGGGGCACTGCCGAAACACACCCCCGCCGTCGCCTCCTGTTCCCCACGCCCAAGTCAGCACCAGAACTTGAACTTGGCTGGGGCGCCCCATCACGGCGGAGACCTTTGGACCTGGTTACTAACCTGCCTGCCCGTGTAACCTTGATGTCCCTTGCGTCGTCCCAGAGCCACGGGGGCCTTTTGGACCCCTGAGGACTGGAGACCTCATTCTTCCAGCGCTGACCCGGCCTCCAGGGCGCCTGCGCGTTCTTCCTCCTCCTGTCCAGTCCTGAGGGAGCCCAGGAGCTGTCCTGGGTCTTTTTCCGAGGAGCTGGGTGGCGGCGGGACTTGGGCGGGGGACAACTCCCGCGTGCACAGGAGCAGCCGGGCCGCGGCGCCTGCGGGACCCTCCCCCCAGCAGTGAGCAGCACGGCAGGGCTGTTACAAAGGCGTTTAGTTTATTCTCGTATCACGGATACTCTAGCGGTTCACATTTCTCGACGCCGCTCCTCCTCCTTTACAGTAGTTCATGTGCAATCTCACTCCCAGGCCCGGGGAGGGGGCGGGGCGGGCCTTGGCACTCCACGCGGGGCCAGGGGTGGGGGTGGCGGGCCCCGCGGGAAAAGGGGCTTGGGGGTGGCGGAGTGGGGGTGAGCGGAGGTGGGAGAGGGCCCTACAGTCTTTTTAATTTTTTTTAATGTCCGTGGATGATTCTCCCCCGTTTGCGTTCCTTCCTGGCTGCCCAGGGTAGGGGACCATGCAGCGCAGGGCAGGGCTAGGGGGGAAAGCAGCTGGCCGCCCGGGGGGAGAGGGGGGCGCTGGGGGGGCTCCTGGGCTAAGGCACAACCCTGTCTTTGGCTCTCCTGGTGGGGAGTTCCCTCCCCTGCACCCCCCCGGCCCGCCCCCCCCAGTCCCAGGAGCCAGGGGCCACCTCCTGGGGTCCCTGAAGACAACTGGGCTCTGCCACCCGGCTGGGCGCTGCAGGGGCTCCAAGGAGGCGGGGCAGCCGAGCGCCCCTACCTTGGGAATAGGCGGGGAGGGAGGAGACCCCCCTCCCCGTTCCAGGGAGCCGGTCCCCCCTGCTCAGGCCTGGAAGGAGGGGCACACCTGGGCACGCCCACTGTCTTCCGAGGGTCTGGCTGGAACCCCCCGCCCTCCCCCCACCCCCGGCCGCAGCTGCTTGCCAAGTGACCAGGATATTGTGCTTTGGGGTTGGCGCTGGGGCGGGGGGCGTGGCGGGGGGCGGGGACTAAGGTGCTTGTGCTTTAGCAGGGGGTGCCGACTCCCCCCCACATACACACTCGGATTGGCTGGAGGCTAAGGTGCGGGGGGGGGCGGGGGCGGGCTGAGAGAACAGAGTGCCAGGACATCCCCCCCAAGCAGGCTGGTGGTGACGCTGTAGGAAGGGTCCAGTGTGGGGCGACCCCGCCTCCCGTCCCCCCGCCCCAGGACCTCCCCTAAAATGCCTTGCCTGGGCAGCCAGAGGCAGGGGACAGAAAGACTGGTGATGGGGGGGAAGGCGAGAGGTACGGGGGTGGGCAGAGAACGACCCCTCCATGTGCGTGTGCGCGTGTGCACACGCACCTTGCCCTGGGCGAGAACGAGAGGAATAGAGAGAGAAAACTCTGCCTGGGGAACCAGGCTCACCCAACCCGCCAAGGCCAGGGACCTCCCTTGAAATACAGCAGTGGGGGTGGGGTGGGGGAAGGAGGGGAGCAGGTCAGACCACGGGGGCCCACGTCAGGAACACGCAGCCACACTCCACACACACGCACGCACGCGCACTCCGCCTGCCTGCCCCAGCACACGCCCCCACCCCAATATCCTGCCTTCCACAGTGCGCCCCACCCCACCCCCACCGGGGAACTGGAGGTGGGCGGGTGGGGGTGAGACCCAGTCCCGTTGGTTTGAAAAATAAAAGGAAATCTTATACTTCAGTATTTCAGTCGCTAAAAAAATGTTTTAAAAAGTTATATACACGGGTAAGGGGCTGGGGGGGCCCTGTCCCGGGGTGGGGTGGGGGGCGGCAGGGCAGGGGGCGGGGAGCAGGCTGCGAGGGGTGGGGCTGCTGCCCTCCCCTCCGCTCCCCGCCCCCCATTCCAACCCTGGTCCAACTGCCTCTTCTATCTTCATTTTCATTCAAGTTTGGGAAAAAGCAAAAAGTTCTGCGCACGCGCACACACGCACACACTCCGCAAGCCCGAGGTGGGCGCCCCCAGAGCCTCTTTGGCTGGGGGTCCCCTCCCTCGGCTTCCAGGGGACAGGGTGGGGGGAGGGGGGACACGGGTCGGATGGAGGTGTGGGGGGGTGAGGGCAGGGTGCCGGGCCCGCCGCCCCAGCCACCCTAGGTTGCTCGTGGAACTGCTCCGAGCCTGCTCGCTCGGCTGCACCACGGGCAGTGCCCACGGCCTCCCTGCCCAGCGCCCAGGCGCAGGACTGAGGAGCGAGGCAGGAAGGCGCTTCTGGAGGCCTGGAAGCACTGGGGGGTGGGTGGGGGGTGGGGAGGGGTCCTGAGACCCCCGCCCAGGCCCAGCGGAGGCGGAGAAAGGACTTCCACCAGGCAGGCCCCTGCCCCGTGCCCGGACTAGTGAGTGTGTGGGGGGGCACAATGCTTGGGGTGTGGGAAGGGGGGTGAGCCGTGTGTAGACCTGGGCTTGGCCCCCCCGCCTGCCCGCCCGCCCCACCCGGCTCACTGGGGAAGGGGCTGGGACAGGGGAGGGGGGCCCAGGAGCATGCAGCGCCCCCCGCGGGGCCTGGGGAGGGACAGACAGTAGCTCGTGACCAAGGTGTGTGTGACAGGACAGAGGGGTGGGGGTGGGGGGCGCGGTTACTGCAGGGCCTCGGCCGAGGGGCCCGCCTCGCCGTCGTGGGCCGGCTCGAAGCCGTGCTCCGCGCCCATCACGTCCGGCTCCATCTTGCCCGTGTCGCTGATGAAGGTAGTGTAGGCGTCGCCCTCGGCGGTGAGCAGCTTCAGCTTGGGCATCCAGCTCTTGCGCACGACCCGGCGCGCGTTGGTGCACATGTCGGCCGCGATGGCGTTCATCTCGCTCTCCTTGAAGTTGGGGGCGAAGTTCTGGCAGTAGTCTGTGGGGGCCAGAGGCTCAGCGGAGACCAAGGATGGCTCTAGGCCACGCCCTTTCGACATCAGCTCCGCCCCTAGACCAACCCACCCACCATAGGCCACACCCACAAGCCACACCCGCCCACCCCGGGCCCTCTGTAGGGCCCCAAAGGCGCGGCTAACCCACCACAGGCCCCTCCCCTCCCTACCTTAGCCTGAACCCCAGGAACCCGCCGACCTCCACCCGTCAGCCCGCCCAGCGCGGGCGCATCCCCTGCTGCCCGCCGCGGCAACTTACACTTGACGGCGTGGAGGACACGGCTGTCCAGTGGTTTGCGGCTGGGGTCATTGCTGGAGGAGCGGATGCCGGTGCCACAGCTGTTGGCCAGCGTGTTCCTGCGGGACGTGGGGGGGGGGGGGTCGGTGAGCGCTCGCGGGTCGCGCCACGGGCGTGGGGAAGCCGCACTCTGCCCCCCCCCTCCCCAAGCCCCCGGCCTCACCGGTCGAAGAAGGAGGCGAGGAGCCGCCGCAGCAAGACCTTGTGCCGGGTGCCGGCGCTCACGTGACAGTTCATGAGCTGCGCCCTCGTGATGTACACATTGGTGCCTGGGGAGGGGGCCAAGCGGGGATGGCCTGGGGGCGGGGGCACGCGGCCGCCCGCCTCCTCCTTCCCCTGCCGCTCTGGACAGGCCGGGGGTGGGGGCACCCTGCGCCCTGCCCGGCTCTCAGGCCCCACCCCGGGACGCCAGCTCGCCCACCTGTCACCAGCTCCAGCTTCTCGGAGGGGTCGCCCTCGTCGTAGAGCTTGGGGTGGCAGCGGTTGCCGATCTGGTTGATGAGCTCGGCCGGCAGCGACGCCAGATCCTGCCGCACCCGGATCCGGCTGCGGGACTCGGGGGCCACCTGTTCCGGGAGGGCCTCAACCTTCTCGGCTGCGGGCAGCAGGTGCGTGTCAGCACTGTGCGTGACCGTGACCGTGCGCGTGCGCGTGCGCCCCCGGGGCCCCAGTGCCGCCTCACCTGCCGGCCCGACGTTCATCATGCTGTACATGGTGTACATGTTGCAGATCTGCCGGTACTGCTCGTCCGAGCCTTCCTCCCCCGCGTCCTCCTCCTCGTCCTCCTCGTTGTGGTAGGAGCCGGGGCTGTCGCTGGTGTAGGCGCTCGAGGTGCCGGGGCTCGTGCGCTCCGACGTGCTGGGCCCGCTCACCACGCCCGCCGCTGCCGCCGCCGCCGCCGCCGCGCTGGCCGGTTGCCCCGCCCCCACCACCGCGGCCACGGCCACCCCGGCGGGCTGCGCGGCCGCCACCACGGGGCCCTGCTGCGGGGGCTGCCGGTTGGCCGCCAGGTCCGGCACGGAGAACTTGGCCATCTT